TCCACCTCCTCTCCCACCTGCATGCCTCCTCCTCTCCCTTCAGATGGCAACTGTGAGCGAATGGTACAGGTGGGAGTCATACACCAGCTTCTGGACCTTCTGGAGAAACACGTGGAGAGCGCGGATGTCTCTGTTCAACATGCTGCACTCAGCGCACTTCGAAACCTTGCTATTCCAGGTACAGAGCCCGAGGACACAACTTACTGTGAACCTTTGTAAAGTTGGGACACGCAGATGAGCACAGCTCTGTCCAAGTCACCAATTCCTGCCCCCTGTACTCTGAGAGAGATTGACCTTTTTCCTCCTGCAGAAACATATGCATTTGAATTATTCATCAGGACTTCTCAACTACATAAAGAATCTAAATATCATACAGTGTGACCTAATACAGTGTGAGCTGCTGAAATTGGTTTACGCTAACAGCCTAAATATCATACAGTGTGATCTAATTGGCAGCTGCTGAAATTGGTTTACGCTAACAGGGAACAGCAATACAAGACAAAAAGTGTAGAACAGAATTTATGGCTTAAAGTGGGATGGCAACTGTCACATCACAACTGATAGGGATTTTACAAATCTGCTGTTCTCCTTCTGCAAAGATAGTGTTTATTGCAAATTTGGCCTGCATAACAGTTAAAAACTGCATTCTTGTGAGCTCTAGCTACACATCAGAAAATTGTGTTGCTTCTCATCTCAGATTTATTCCTTTCATAAGAAAACACACATCCATACCAAAAATTTTTGATAGAGAATTAACAGTGCAGTACCCTTTAACGCAGTCCTTACACTGTTTTATAGCACTACTCAGATGATAGCATGACACAAACACGATTTTCCAAAATTAAAATTTTGACGTTGCTGAAGAAACTCCTAGTTATACATATACGTCCACGTTAGCTTCAAGCTGGCCATAACATACATAGGGACATAGATCTAACTTGTATAAGGCCTATGCCTTATGTTGTAAGGTAGGCTGGAGAAAGCAGCTCAGAGAAGCACGTGCCACAAGAGAGGAAAGCACTTCATCAGCACCCTATAAAAGAGCCCAATGGCCAACACTGTTTCTGGTTCTAGAGAGCCCAGCAGTATTAATTTCAGAAGTCTCTTTCTGAGGGAAATACCAGGATACATTCACTACTCTAAGTTTTCTTTGAACAAGGTACTGTACAGAGAAACACAGCATGCTTAAATAACTGAGCACTGGTTTCCAATCTAACCTGGAGTTTCTCCAGTTTTCAGGGCCAACCTTTTACTATTTCATTCCCTAACCACAAGTACCTCTCCCTTCAGTACCTATTAGGCAATCCTCTGAACGTATCCTACAGCATTCACTTCCTTCAGCTGCAAACTATTTTCAAAATGCAACAAGCAGCAGCAAAGCAGTTTCAAGCACTGAACTTGAAGTGCAGACCATTGTAAGAAGAAACATAACTGTTCTTTAACAGCAAGAAGCAGTGACACATAGCATTAAGACAGAAAAAGAAAGCCATCCAACTGAAATCGAATGTAATTTAGGTAGGTAAAACATAACTACCTTCTTCAGAATGTCAATCTGTGGTTTCTCTATAGAGCCATGTGCTCAGCTCAATATCTCATTGCACATATTGCAAGAGTAGATTCAAAGAGAATTCTCATCAATAAGATATTCAACAGTTACAAGGAGCAAAGATACCACGTTTTTATTTGAAAAATAACAATTTGATGTAGTTTCCCTTGACAGCATACAAGGACAGTGGCAATACTCTAACTCAAAGCAGAGACCAAAGGCTTCTCTGTCCAAACACTGTTACAAACCATCTATGATCTTTCAAAATGTATGTTTCTTCCACAGATTTTTAGTCAATATAATCACAACATGAAACTAAGAAAAAAATCCAAAACCTGAGACACAAAACTATGTAGCATGGAAGAAAATAATTGAAGAAATAGATGCATTTTAAAAAGATGAACAAAACAGCATAGGCACAATATAAAACTGTAAGGTGGACAAGACATAGCACTTGGATCTTCAAATTCTGATCCTAAACTACGCTTCTCCTTATCAACTCGAACACAAACAGGAAAGCCATAAAGTCAGGCCTGCGTAATAGTACAGCACTTCTAGCAATACGCAAGAAATGCACATCCTATCACATGGAGAAAATGCTTACTGAGTGCAAATCTAAGTATACCATAAACCAAAAGTGAATCAAATACGCTCCAACACTTGCAGACAAGCACAAGAGATGCCCTTAATTCAAACAGTGATCTTAAGAGTACTTATTAAAAAAAGTAGTAAAAAGTTATACTTTAGTAGCCTTTAGTGACTAGAGAGTCTGTGCTGCCTGAAGAAAATAACTTGTTTTTAATTTATCTAATAGTCTTTGCTTCTCAATCTGCCAAAAGGAAGAAAAAAGGGATACAATAAATATCTTGCCTAATATTTCACTTTCAAAAGAAAGAAAAGGCATACAGGAGATTGAAGATAAATTGTTCTGGGAGGAAGCAACATTTAGTAGAGTTAAGCAGCATTAGGACTCCTTCCAGACAAGTCTCTGTTTACTTCCAGATTATTATTTCCCCACTAAAGGCTGGTGCAGAGACATTAAGATTTAGAAGCAGAGAAAAAGCACAGAAGGAAAGGCATGAACAACATAGGATCAGCGAGCTCAAATGTAAGAAACTTGATTCTCAAGAAATAAGGTTAAGTCATTCACTTTTGCTTCCCAGTTCTATAAATACAAGCAAGCACATCAAAGCCTTCAGAACTTGGCTAATACGGGTTGGTGGTACGGAAGTGCTTCCTTTTTCCTCTTATCACTTCATTTTGGGCAGGACTAAGATCGTAGTGTATGCAAAATACACAGACTTAAACAGTTACATTGTTCCAAATTCATGTCAGAATGCTCTTAAATTGGATTATCTGCAAGCGCTAAGAGCAAAATACTCAGTGCAAGATACGTCAACTCAACACATTCGTGCAGCTGCTGAACTCCAATTTAACATCCTTTTTTTCCTCCGGTTCCATTTTCTAGTTGCTAACAAGGTTCAGATACTGGAGGAACGTGTGGCGGAAAGAATTCAGGCACTTCTAAGGTCAGAGTCGCCTCCTGTGCAGTTTAAACTTCTCGGAACACTACGAATGTTGGCAGATGGTCAAGGTAGGGAATTGCTAATTTTTTTTACTAATGTCACCTTTTCTCCTCCTTCCTGACCGCAGAACGAGAGTTGTGTGAGGCAACAACAGGCTCAGTATTCTGCTTAACTCCATTCACTCTGGAGAGATGCTCCAACACACAAGAGTGATTGATGCTTCAAAGTTTTCCATTCTAGCCCACACTAACCTCAGAAATAGATGAGTAATTGAGAAAAGAACTAAATAAAAGTACATGTAGTAGCCAACATGGAATAGCAGAGGCTTAAAGGAAGACATTTCCAATGCAGACACGTCAGCAAAGCACAAGTACCATGGAAGAGAGTCAGGCTGCAGATTTACAAGGCCAATGAGCAGAAGAGCAAATGAACAGCATAACTGGAGAATGTAAAAGGATCCAAGGGAGTTGGGGTTGAGCAAGAAGACAGAGGAGAAATGAATTTCTATTAGTCACCTAGTCTCTCCATACCCTTGTTCCCAGTCTTATCCCACTACTTGCTTAAATACTGAATCAACTGAGCCTTGAAATATCGTTTCACCTACTTGCCCATCTTTGTGCAAAACTGAAAGACAAGAAACACATGCAAATGCAACAGTACTCATTTTATGCATATAGCTGCATTTTGAAAACAAAAGTGCAGTATTTAGGCACTAAAGAAAAATCAGCACCTTACAATAGCATTAAAATCTACAATATTCTAATTCATCCTTAGACGAGCACATTTTTACCTGATTGTAACATCTGAAAGTAAGTACTTTTTTTTATGATAGATGCCTGCCCTAATCTTTCCAAATCATCACAGAAACAGCTCTAGAACACTAGTCAATAGATACCATATTGATGTGCATGAATCAGAAAACATTACCAGCATTTTGAGATGGGAACTGACAGTTGGCACAGAACAAGTACTAAATCATGAATTCATCAGTTATACGGAAAGGGAAAAGGCTCATTCTCTCTTATACTCCATGCTGCTGTCACTTACAACCACTTCAGACACCACTTTGGTTTGACAGCAACTTACACCCATCTCCAATATGCAAGACACTAAATTAAGATTTTGAGCTTTTGTATTAATTGTTAAAATACAAAGGTTTTTTTTGACTGAAATTATTGCCACTGAGGATGCTGCTAGATACACAGAAATCCAGCCTTTTTCTCCTGTCAAGCTTTGAATTAAATCATTAGACATTGGCATAAAGACCTTAGTATAAAGAAAGTCTGAATTTTGCACTAAGAAATACAAACATTATAGGTATCAAAATGCAAAGAAGAAAAAGAATTGTATAATACTTAATGTTTACCCTTTATGCCTGTGGGCACAAAGTCTCCCCTTTTAATTACTTTCTGTTTATCCAGGAAGCATAGCTCATTGCTCTTAATTAAGTCAGCCTGAAACTCTCATAAAGACACATCTACTAACAAGTCCACATTAAATCAGTTAATTGCATTACCTAGTGTAAATTCGTTACTTAGACAGTCACTGGACATGCTGTGACCTGCAAAACAGAAAAGGTAGGTGTGTTTCTAATTATGGAAAAACGCACTCAGACCTATCACATCAGCTCCTTTACACTAAGATGTTAACAATAATTGATTCCCTGCTGTGCTTCAGAGAAGAACCTCACCACACAGCCAAAGGACTTTCGGCTAAATGAAAAGTTCAGTTATATGCATAATTTCAGGTTTATCATTAAAAGGTCCTTCCATTTCTCTGAACGATGACTAAATGACACTTGGACTAAACAACAGGCTTTGTTCCACAGACATCCATTGTTAGTAGGCCTCAGGAAGTCCCCTTGAGAACTGGGTCAAGACTCCTTCTTTAAACAAACCTCTTAAACCAGTATCATTTGCCATTCCTTCACCTTATTTAAGCTTTCCGGACTAAATTGGATTATCGTGATCTCCTCAGACAAACGCGTAACATCTGACCTAGAAAGAGCAGCCTTTCTGTCATGTGAGCTGATGTGTGGATTGAGTAATGACAGGCTAACTTTATCTCAAAAAAAAAAAAAAAAAAACCCAAAACAATTTGGCTAGAAGCTCCCAGATCATTGAGAATTGAGACTTTGCCTTGTGAAATCTCTCAGGATTGTGGAAAGAACAAAGGAAGTGCCCATGCTTTCTCATCCCTCTCCTCTAAGGAGGAGGAAAAGGTTGACTTCGCATTTCTGTGAAACATGCAGAGTAGTCACATGGTTTTCTGACACAGATTTTCTGATGCACACTCTCTCTGATCCTTAAAATATTTCAGAACAAACACAATATGCAGGAAGGAAGGGACAAAGGAATAGGAGCAGGGTGATGCTCTTGTACACCAAAACTATCCTTTCTATTCTGGATCTTAACATCAGTTCTGCCTCAAGTCCCTTTGAGAAACTTTTCAGCCTCTTAAAACCATACACACATTGCTCACACTTTCCTCCCCTCTTAATTACCTTCCAAACAAGGAGGAAACTCCCCGTTCATCTTCTTTCAGGCCTGGAGCTCATGGAAAAGATTGAAAGAGTGGAGGTAACTGTTTATAGGTCCTTTGAAATTTAAGAACCCCTTAAAATACTTTACCATATCTCTCTCTCTCATCAGATTTATCATCATTTGGGAGGGGGAAGACAACCAAGTGTTTAAGATGACCAAAATGAAGTCAATAAGGAAAACCCTCAGCTACAGCTATACAAGACTCCCAAGTTTAAGATGGGAGCCTTATAAGCACATGGTATTTTTGCAAATACAATAATTAGGATAACAAAAAGGTAAATACAAGCTCTATAACTACTTTGGTTGGCAGAGACAGAAACTGAGGGGCAAGTCAGAAATGCTGTGTATCTATATACTCAACTTGCAAACCATTAGGACAGTAGAGATATAGGGATATAATGGCTTGGCATTTTACCCAACAGCTGTTCTAGATGTTCTCAAGGCCAAGTGGATAAACACTCGACTCCTACAAAAAGAAGAAGTAGTAATGTGCATAATTTAAGCTTATCTTTCTCCTGCTTCCCTTTTGTAGTTACCATTGTATATCTTCAAAGTCTTAAGTACAGTATCAACTAACTGAATTCAGTGAAGCAGTTAGTATTTACCGAGGTTCTCTCAATGCCTGGATCTCTGTTTAGCATACTTAGTTAAAATAGTGTATTCCACAGTCCTTGGTGTCTCATATTAGTATTTTCCTCTGCTTAGGAAACAACTTTATAGTATTTAGCCACTTTTGACTCATAACACTTTCAAGATGTTATTAAATTGCACTAACATTTATGTGGAATCATGCATTAGATCAACACAACACTAAAAGTTTATCTTTGGCATTAGCAATGTTCCTTTTGCTGTTGAACTTTTGAAAGCTTTGTGAGCCAGCTCCCACATACTGAGCAGTTCAGCAGCACAAACCTTAAGTTACAGCAGCTCATTAGTTTCAGTTCCTTAGGAAAAGTTATCTAGTCATTTCATCCTGCCCAAGTGCCAAATCCTGAAATTTTGCCAAATCCTGAAACAAGGCCCCTGCAACACAGGGAAAGGCAACTTAACAGGCTCCTTCAAACTTTGGAGGAAGTTTTAATGATGCCTAAAAAGCAGTTCTACACCTATATGCATTCTTAAGACATGATAATTACAGACATGCTGCAAATCAGTACTAAGACTTGTTTTCACACATGCTGCCTGCAATAATCTTCACCATTGCTAATAACACTGAAAGGGCAAGGAGATGCTCTGAAGAGCCAATTCTTGCTTTCACACAGGTCTCAGAGCAAATGCAAGTAAAATAAAGGACTGACGAGAAGATTTCAATATAGCAGTAAAATATATTCTCTCAAAGATTTTATGCCACCCTTCATTAAGCCCTGCTTCAGCACAGTCAAACATTGGTATGTACTTCAAAGTTTCAGAAGGGCTGAAAAACAAACAAACAAACAAAACCTGCTAGGTCTGCAGCAAAAGCAGCTTAATTTGTTCTTGGCCTCCAAAATAGGCCTTAAAAAGTCTGCTTTACAGAGGATGTCAGAGAACACTGAAGTCCAATGCCCTAAAGAATATTGGGCTAGAAAACAAGCCATCCTGGCTATTTTACACTCACATTTCTGTGAATGCAAAAGGGCCCAAATTAAGTGTTTCCTGATCACACTTTCCTCTTCAGCTGACGCCGCTGAAATCTTGGGCCAAGACCCCACGCTGCTCAACAGACTCGTGCAATGGTGCGACGCTAACAACAGCGCTGGCATCCGCGGAGAAGCACATCGGCTGCTGGCCTCCATCTTGCAGCACAACAGATCTCAGGTATGAGAACTATCGCTATGTTTCTATTTTATCTTTCTCAAGTATTTTTAAGACCCTTCTATTTTACTGGACATTAAAATGTCAGACACATTGCTATATCACATTACAATAGCTTAAATCATATTAAAAAGCTTTCCACAAAACCCTTCTAGCCTGCCTCAATACTAAGTAGGCGAAGGGGAACAGGAAAGCAGAGTGCCATCTACCACCACAGATGTGGCACTAGCAGCACTTTAATATCATCTATCAAATTTTACCCAATTTTTTTGCTCAAATAAGGCTTAACAAGTGGCAAGCATTGGTAAAGCAAGTGGTAAGGCTTTATTTCCATAAACATATTTGCTTCAAATTAAAACTACAAAGATAACCCAAACGTATCACGAATGTCAAGATTTAAGGAACTTGCCTAAAGTGATGGATGAATTTAGTGATCTGTATGAGAAGGCACTGGTGGCATATTGAAACTAGCATTTGTTTCTTACAAATCATACAATTTTACAAAGGCAGACCAAGTGTGTTTTTATTTTTAATTTATTTATTATTTGAAGTAGTGCTAAAATATGTAGATACTATCTGCACAGGTTTTGATAAACTACAACTAAATCTTTTCTAATTTATATGCTTGAATGAAAGGCTGGAGTAAGATCAAACAAAAACCATTAAGAGATGAAAAAAAAAAGTGTAAAGTAAGAATATATGCAAGTACCTTCTGGTAAATTAAACCAGCCTTAACCTGGTAAAACACACAATCAGTACCACAGGAAAACTCTTTAGTCATAAGATTCATTCACTTAAAAAAAAAAAAAAAAAAAAAAAAAAAAAAAAAAACAACACACACACACACACAAAAAAAACAGCTTACATTGCAGCAGGCGAATCATTTCAACCTTTTCAAAGACTGAAGAGTATAATCGCAATTCTTTCCATTCTGCTGTTATTTACAACTCAGATTGAGGCGTGATATTTTACCTTTGCTTTAACAGGAAGTGATCAAGGCCATGCAGGAAGCCCGTGGAGTGAAGCATCTGGTTTCCATGACAACAAGCGAACACGTTACTCTACAGAAGGAGGCTCTGAATGCCTTGACAATAGCATCCACGATCAATTTAGGTATTTTTTCTTCTAAATGCATTTATCTGTGTAAGATCCTTATTGTTAATGCAAACCACTGTCATGCCATTAGCTCCACACAACACGTAAGAAAATACAAGGGTCATGTTTAAATTCAGTTCTACGGCATTATAAAAAGGAGGCCAGTCATCCAGATCACAAAAGCAACAGGATTCAGAAACTGCCTGAAAAGTGTCTTTTGGATTTTTTTTTATTATTATTATTATTATTTTTTTTTAAAGAAGATAGAAGTCTCCTTCTCTGGAGATCTTCCAAACCCGCTCGGACGCAGTCCTGTGCCACGTGCTCTAGGTGACCCTGCATGTGCAGGGGGGTTGGACTAGATGATCTCTAGAGGTCCCTTCCAACCTTAACAATTCTATGAATCAAAACACCAGGTTGGAGAGGGACAATATGTTGAACAGCATGATACAATGCAAGAAACCTGCAAGGTGGCAAAACAGGAAGAGCTGAAGATGATCAGGGACGAAAGGAGAGAAAAGATCTAGATAAAGACAAAACTAAAGACACAACTAAACAGGGACACACTAAGGGATTGAATCATCAATCAAAACTAAAAGGAAGAAATAATCTTTGAAGACATACAGAATGCAAGAGAGAATAAAGTGGAAGTGTAAAATTGTGTACATTTGTGGGAGCTGCAAATGATGGGGAACAGGTATAAACAAATATTTTATTTTGCAGAAACCCTCGAAGAATCTTTTAAGGAGTCACGGCTAGTTCAAAGCTTACACAGACTACTACAAGATGTGAATACAAGTCCTGAGGTGACATATAATTCAATGGGTCTTTTGTGCAGCCTTCTTAAATCAGGTAAGTTATGTAGTATTCGATGAAAGGACAGTTATTTATGATCAAGACAAGTGTTTTCTATGATAAACATGATAAACATTTTCTATGATAAACACTAGTGATGCTGTCACTGTGAACAA